GTCTGAAACTTTCATTCAGTGAAGGATATATGTGACCCATCATACTGAAATGAGGATTAAGTCAAATTTGGTCAAAATTACCTAATTACATTTTCAGATTCTTGGCTTTAAAAGCTACATTTTGATCCCTGGATCATTCTGATTTCATAATTAAATCCATATATATGACTTAATTTGTCTTGTTGGTTACAATAATACATAAATATTTGGTCTGAATCCTAATTTTATGTCATTTTAATGAGGAATTTTTGATGTCCTTATAAAGAGGAAACTTCAAATTATATTTGAGTATTGGGATTTCCCAGCTAAAAAGAAACAAAACTTTGCTAACTCACAGGGAAGATCTCAAATTTTTAAAGTGTTTTTCCTCAAAATCAGGTTTTTTGTTTCTACTGCTCAAAAAGTGCTTCAAAAATTTGTTTTATGATTATATTTCAGACACTTCATTCGTTTGATACATTAATAAGGCTTTTATTCATTATGTTTTGACAAAATGCAATTTTTGTTAACATTTTAGTCAAAGCATTTGCCTATTTCTCCTTATACCACTTTTGGACTTAATCCTCGTTTCGATGTGACGGGTCGCATATGTACAAATGCACATAAACACACAAACATTTATACAGTATAGTACAGTAAATACAGTAAAAAGAATTGTTCATCTCTACAATCGCTCACTTTGTTCGGTGTTTCTCTTGATTGTTGTTGTTTGTGGTCTCCTCACAGATCTGTGAGTACAGGTCGTCTGTCGGACCAACCCGTCCGGATCACGCTGGGTGGACAGGCGTACCAGGGCAGCACTGACAGCCTGAACACAGAGAGGCCCATGGACACTGGTACACTGCACAACTTTCACCTTTACTCTGTTTACCTGAAAGCAAAGAGTAGCCTGACTGTAGAAAAACACACATCCTGATTGTTTAATAGTATTAATGAGAACAGAAGGGTTGGTTGGAGTTAAAAAGACTGAATGTCCTCCTCCCTGCAGCACCCAGCATGGCTCAGGGTGGCTCAGCGAGTCCTCGCACCGTAGTGTTCACCGTGGGTTCACCCCCTAGCAGCAGTACTCCTCCCACCTGCAGCCACCTGGGCGCCCGGCCTCGCACCACTTCAGGTGAGGAGCCCTTCCTGTCAGCAGATGTGTTGTGTTTGATGGTGTTCTGAACTCGCTCCCTGTCCTCTCAGTGGGCTCCAACAGTTCAGCCGGCTCCTTGTGCTCCACCAGTGGGCGGGTCTATGCTGGCTCTCCCACTGGCATGGCCATAGGCTCCTCCCCTCCAGGGAGTTTAGGGAGCGGGCAGGGAAGGGTAGAGGGGGCACCCAGCAGCCTGCGCTACATCCCATATGGGACCTCACCCCCCAGCTTGGAGGGCTTCATCACCTTCGAGGCTCCAGAGCTACCTGAGGAGACCCTGATGGAGGTGAGACCACCACGCTCATGTCCAAACTGAGCCCACAGACAAGTCAGGACGGTTATTAAACTGCAGAAAGTTCTTCAATAATGTTAAATAAATTATATGTAGCAACTATTAATGGTGAGGGAGGTGAGTTCAGTGTAACAAAGACTAAATTATTAACCTTTTATTTAACCAGACATAAATCTTTTCTTTTTTTGATGTTCTGCACCAGTGTAGTAGACGTCCAGCGTCGTGTACATACTTCTCAAATTAATGAGGAAAACACGGGTTCTTTTTCACAAAAGACTTGAAGAAATTTATAGTTATTACAGATTAGTACTGATGTTAGAAGCATAACACTAGATTACTAGGGTTTCCTTTTTATAATATTTTTATAATGTTTGATCTATTATGTGTTAATTGATACAGAGTAGTTACATGTCCGAATCATAACAACACATAAGTGAACCGTTATGATAACATTAGGTTGAGTTTATTGGATGAATGCCTGTGATTCAGCCTTAGGTCAGCGGGGGGCGAACTCAGGCATTGAAGAATCGTGTATAAAAGATGTACTTCCTGGCTTTTGGCCAGTATGGTTTTCCTTGTCAGCCCGGTGACAAATAAACCTCACTCAGGTCCAGAATTCTGGTGTTGTATGACCTTATTCCTTTCACAAATCATTTTATTTAACAATTGTGTTTTCATCTTGACTTCAGTCGTATTGAACRCGTATTTTTCTTACAGACTGATACCTCTCCCAGAATGAAAGTGAGAAAAGACAGACTCAATAATTTGTAATCCCAGTCAGTTCAATTTTCTAAAATAAAGGAAATTTATTTACAGAATAAATGAACTAACATATATACAAATTAAGGCTAATAACCAGTACTTTATGAGATAAAACATTAACAATAAACACCTCGCGTCCGACGTGAAGTATTGTAAATATAAACACTCAGAAAGTAAACAAGTAAAAACAGTAAACCAGTCTTAGATGTTATTAAACTCAGTTTACAGGTATTTTAACTTATGGCAAGAATCTTTAGATTGAGAAAGGAGGGAAAGAGTATTAGTAAAGATTTAGTTTTATCAGTTATCTTATCAAAGTTTAGAACCATGACAGCCTGGATCTGTGTTTCCTACTTAGCTGGATCTTCTCTGCTAACAAAAACAATTTCTACCTGTTGCTGATTCATCCGTCAGGTCAGGAGGTCAGGAGAACTCACGCCCAGTGCAACTCCTCAGGGTTTTTGTTTTCAGCGTCTCAGAAGACCTGCCATTTAGTCAAGGGACCAGGGTCCAGTTTGCTGCTCAGGCTCTTTGCTTTCAGAATAAAAGTTCAAAGGTAGCTTGAGACTGGCGTTGCCTCAAGCCAAGACAAAGTATTTTTCCTCTTTAGCTCTTGAGAAAAAAATCTCTGTTGGGCTGCTCTTCCCGAAGGAAGTTCAGCTGGAAACGAAAATGGCTGTTTCTCGTTTCTTCTTCAATCTCAGACTGTCCGAATCAAATTCGTGTTAGTACTCTAAAGAGGAAGACAGCTAATTGACCTTGAGTGTTAGCACAGAAAAGGAAACAAGAATGTTGAGTCTGAAGATGCTTCTTGCCAGAGAAAAATGTTTTTGCACCTGTTTTTGAAACAACAAGGTAACTTTTGTAGGGGTCACCTCGAGTGAAGAAACAAGATTTACTGCCTCAAAGCAGGCCTCGGACAGGCCTGACGAGAAGGCWGGAACTCTGTCACAAACTGAATTCTATTTAGGCCATGACAGRTCATTTTAACCTAGAAGAGAATTTCTCAGTTCTCTTAATYGAYAATGGACAGAGCAATCTTTTCTGTTCGTGATTCATTTGTTGTTTAACTAAGAATGTTTATGCATTTGTTAAATCATAATAATGACTGTCACAAAGAAAGTGGAACCACTTCTACCCTTTTATCGTGCCTAAAAGATTTAGTAATGGTATAAAAATCTCAGAGAAAATCATTACCATGTTTTCATTGTGTTTTTATATAATTCACAGTTTTTATTTTACTGGAAACACAGTAATATGATTTTGAGTTTTTCTTGAGAAAATCTTTCATCTGGACYAACAAAAGGCTCAGACTGATTATTTAAACAGAAATGTTAATTAATCATCATAAATGTTTTACAGTGATTTCTCTTAGAGTCTATCAGAAGGAAAAGCTAAAGAAGAGGTTATCATTCTGTTGTGACAACCATAGAATTTAACCTTGCGCCTGGCGCCTGGCTGGCAAAGCTTTATCTTTCTTTCTTTTCCTGACTCATTCTTAACACCTGAGGGCGGAACCAAAGTCGTCCGCTTCTATTACTAACACGGACGCCTTTGAGTGACGGCACACTTCTTCCTGGATGCCGAACTGGGAAGTAACGCTGTGTTTCTCCCTGGAGAAACCAGCTTGGCCAGTTAGATCTTGCCCATAAGCCAATTAGGGGGATCTAACGGCCAGGGCAGGGGCAAGCCGCCGACTGTCCATTCGAGACTCAAGTCTCCAAGTGTTTTTCAACTCCCGAGGGGAGAATTTTATTTTAAAAGGCCAAACCGGATGCATCAGCTTGAATCTTTCTGGCGAAGATCGAAGCAGACGAAAGTTGCCTAAAAATAACACTTTTCGCAGAGGAACAGTGAGCGGGCCGATCAAAACGTTCCCTGACTGATCGGAGGTGAGACAGTGTCTACCCAGGGTGTGGTTAAGAAGCCAGCAACAGGTAACGCTGTCGTGTTCCGGGTGACGTGTCATGTGGAGATCTGAGCGCAGAGRGGACGTGCTGATCCGGTTGTATCATACCCTTAAGAAAATAAGAGTAGTGAAACACTAACCTTATTTTCATCCTTTCCTTATTCTTTATTTGCCAAAACTTAAGCTAAAAGGTGCCAGTAAATTGTTTGGTTGTTAACATCAGAACTGACATTTTACTGTTCTACATATAAGTAATCTGAGTTTAATGTGAATAAAAATTCGGACGCGAGTTTTATCTCATTTAACTTTGAAGCTTGTTATAGGAAACCACAATCAGGTGTACTTATGATCTGTTCAATTTGTGTAAATAAATGATTGCATAGTCTTTTATGAATCAACTTGAACTCGTCTGAACGTCCACTTATTGTGTCACTTCTCACTTTGCACAGTCAAGATATTGAAGTAATGAGAAATACTTTGGTAAAACTTTCCTCATAACCTTATTATGAGAAGTATGTAGAAAGGCTTATTTTAACATAAGTCTACCCCCTACACTTTGAACAGACTTTTAAATGGATTAAAGTTCATTGAAGCTCAAGAATCATTTTAACTGRAATAAATCTAAGAAATATTTCTCTATGATTAAAGACAAATATTTATGTAAGCATATTTCAAAATATAACTCAGTGAAGTTATAAACTCAACAATCAACTTTAGTTAGATGGAATAATAAAAAGAAAAACAATCACTTTACTGTAAGACAATAGTTGATTAAACAAGCATTTGTGTAAAACAGGTGAAGGGATATTTCAACCATTTCTCATGGTGTGTTTTTTTTATTTTTCTGAAGAATAATGCAAAACATTAATTCATTAGACAACTTTGATTTATAAAATGATAATAACTAATAGTTAAAAAGAGTTTATAAATCAAAAACAAAAAGAACATTATAATTTTGTTTATTAAAGAAAATAAAATGTCTCTTTTGAGAAAGGATTTTTTTTTAAACCAGAGTCAAAGACAAGTGGAAATGTTTATTTCCCCTTTGGGGTACCCCTACACCAGGAAACTCTCTGGATGGCTTTCAAAGTTAGTTTTTTTTTTAAACTTCAGTCTTTCCTGTACATGTGGACCGGCACCAAACTGGGATWATCTTTTATGTGGGAGGATTTTAATTAATGAAGATTTGCTAAATTATAAGTTTTCTTATAATTTATTAACATAATAAAGGGCACCACCTGTTGCTCTAACAGGAAATTAATCTCGTATTTTTGACTTAATCTCATGTACTGAAGGACGGAGCTCTTTTCAGTTTATGACGGTGAACACAAATAAAAAGACRCGGAGACAGAGCATGGATTTCACAATATACCTTATATTCATGGATTCAGAGAGAAAAATTACATCACAAGTCGTTTATGGCAAGTAAAGACATTTGCTCTCCCAACTGCTATGAATTTAAATAACAAGTGACATCACTTCAGCCAACTACTCCTAGTAATTTTATGCTACAGAATCACAACTCACTATTATCTATTCTAACAAAAGGAGTGAAAACTTCCTAGATTAATAAAAGAAAACGTTGATTCATTTATCAAGAGGGGACATGAATTCTAAGGGAAATTAACTCGCCAGCTCTTCCTTCCAAGTCCTGAACTCTCTCTCTCTCACCACCTCAGCTGAGCACACCACCAAACGCATAGRAAGATGTTCTTTCCTACCATTTCGACGTGAACCAGGTCAGTTCTGCCCCAGGGTACCAGGAGATTTGAGCGAGGATGGTCACCGGTGCCACTCGGTCTCAAAGGGGGTCCCGTTCGGGTACAGCTGGACACGCCGAGGCTGTCTGAGGTCGGCTTCAAGGTACAGATGAGAAAGTCAGTTTGGGTCTAGATGGATCGGACTGAAGTTCTGGTCAGCTCAGTTTCCTGAAAAAATCGCGTCCCTACGCTACAAAAATTAAACTAAAAAAATWAAATTAAAATAAATGTCCCCGAAGGGAATGAAGGAACTTGAAACTCCTGGTCCGTTCTCTCTTGCTGCTGTTTCTAGAAAGCTTTTAAATAATAAAAATGTTATCTCTTGTCCTGACTTTACAAACTTCTGATTGGCTGAGAGAGTCACATGGGGTGTCACCCGCTTCACTGATATCGCGGTTCTGCTGCTAAAATGATTAAACAACACAGATTGATGTGGTTACTTGTACAGTGATTAAATCAAGATATTATCACAGTGATTGAGTCATGATAGAAAAATATATTGTTTCTTTTTCTTCTTCTTTTTTAATCAGACAACCAAACAGCAGAAATTTACCCAGAAAAACATTTACTCATGATGTGATTATGAGACTAGCCTTTTAGGGGCGCTCTAAGACCATGAATGAGATTGTATGTTAGGTATGTCTTTGAAGATTGTTCGTGGGCATTATCTCAGCAGGGGACACAGTCTCTTAGGGTCTAGATGTAGATTGTAAATCCACTTCTGGAGACTTTCCGTCTGGGCAAATGGTTGGTCCTTTGTTATAAACGACCATTTTGAATACTTAAAAGGGATCTCACAACAGGGCTTAGTCAATGGAAGGTTGCAGTTCCTGTTTATTTTAGCATTTGTAGACAGTGGAGAATACAGTATATATCCCTATAGATATGGGAGGAGGAGGAAGTATTAATTCAAAGTTCTTGAGTGGAACTTTTTTCTTACGTTCCTGCTACACTTATGTCAGAGATTTCTAGGTGTATTTCAGAACCTCAGTCAGTGCTGTTTCTAAAAAAAAAGCCTCTCAAAAAGACCTGAATAAAAAGCCTCTGAGCTTCTGGTCCAGTTCTGACCTGAGATTATTCACAGAAAAACACTGTGTGGTTTAGATCTAAAGCTTCTAATGAAGTATCTGACTGACAGTTTATTAAACAAGACAAAATCAAACTATTTCAAACAGGAACTGATCCTGAAACGTATAATATCATCAGAACCGAAGAAAACAGAGTTAATAAGTTACTGTTTAAAGGTGTCCCACAAGGAAGCATTTTGGGCCCTACTCTTTTCAGTATTGACATTAATAACATTCTCCTTGCAACTAGTAACTCTCATGTACTGTACATCTATATGCTGATGATACCATCGTCTATACACCCAGTCCCTCTCTGACTGTAGACCAGCTTCATTAGTATGCAACAGGCYTCTCTAGTCTACATTTGCTTTTACTGTTTTGCAATGCTTTTGTACAAAAATCAAGTTCAATAAATTGAAAGTTTGTATAAAATATCAGAAAACCAGTGGATTCTCTACCAAAAGGTTTATTAAAAATCTGAGTCCATCCGGTCCACAGTCACACAGCAGCAGCAGCTGTCCCAGGCTGAATGATAAATAATGATGAATCAGCTTTTTAATCATGTACACCTGACTTCCTGGTCACACCTCTGGAGGTGGGACCTTTAATGTCAAACCTTAGAAKGTAATCACTTACAGAAAGGCCTCATAATGATAAGACACACTGACTCTTTCTCAGAGTTGTAATGTAACTAAGTACAAATACTTTGTTACTGTACTTAAGTAGAATTTTTGGGTATCTGTACTTCACTTGAGTAATTATTTTTCATCATACTTTTTACTTTTACTTATTACATTTTTACACAATTATCTGTACTTTCTACTCACTACATTATTTTAAAAGGTAAGAAGTACAAAGTCGTTACTCCTATTTTATTCTGAGTTGTTATTACTTAAAAAATCCT